GACTGTAGGTCTCTGGAGATAAGCAAAATCTGGTGTCCAGGAACAACTTTCTTTGTGACCCAAAACCAACCAGTGCACCCTTTGAAGCCACCGCTTCTCAATGATGTGAAGTCTCTGAGCCTCAGATTCAGGAACATGGCACAAGGCTGGGAGCCACACCTGCTGAAGTCTGCCCTAGGTCCTTCACCTACTGATGGGCTGGGTCCCTCTGAACTTTCACCAGAGGGGATGGAATGTGTGTTACGAGCAGATGTGTCACAGAATCTGATGAGGAGGAGCAGAGTGCAGTCTCCGCAGGTCACAGGCGTTGCATGCTGCATGAGCTCACCCCACACTGGCCCCACTAACGGCTGCTTTTCTAGGCCCAGGAACTAGGATAGAGTGAGGAGGTTGGGGTGGGGCCAGGATGGGCCAGGCTGCCCGAACATGTCCAGGTCATGGGGACCCACACTCACCTTTGCCTCTTCCTTTGGTGGTTCTGACTCCTTTAATATCTTCTCTGTGAGCAGCCCTCACCTCAGCCCTTCAGAGGAAGAGTGTGGGAGCCTATTGTATGCCCCAGACCATGTCAAATTCCATGAGATGAGTAAAAGGCCAGGGAGAGCCTGGAACCACTGGGCTGGAGGCCAGAACCTCACTGAGGTTCATTTGCTGTGGTGTCCCTAGAGGGGGAACATGATGGCTCCACAAAGTGCATGAAGACCATGAGGTGAGACCCAACCCTGATGGGCAAACTGTGCCAGGAACAAGACCTGGCATATGTTCATCAAGTGTGGTGGAGGGCAGCTCCAGGATCATCTTCCCTACATACAGAATGTCATGAATGGCAACATCCATGCACATGCTGTCCTTGTTCTCAAGGTTAAAGCCACGCACATCTCCACAGGAGGGGCTCCCCTGTGCTCCACATGGACCTGGCCAGGCATGGAGCAGAGCCTGCCTGGAGGAAGTTGTGTGGATGACACAGCCAGCTCATTTCTTCCCACCTGTTTGTGACCTCCTTCCTTTTTCTCTGTCACCCCACTTTACCTCACTCTCCAGGTCCCACATGGCTGCACCGTGAACATTGCCACCATTCATGGATGAGGGGTCTTTCTTTTCTGACTTGGAGACACCCAGCCAGGTACCATGGAGAGACCCAGAGTGAAAAACTTATGGTCAAGTTCAAAGTTGTTCCCAGACAAATTAACACCCCAGCACAACAGAGCCTCTTCCTAGGCCTTGCTCTACCTGCAGAGCAACAGCCTACCCCAAACACCATCTTCTCCCTCAGGAGCACCCAGCTCTGTGTCCACCTGACACTGGCTATGCTTCCTAAGTATGAAAAAAGCCACTGTTTTCAGGAAAAAGCTCCTGTCTCTGAGCTCCTTTGGCACTGGGCTGTCGTGGTTGGGGGATTGTGCAACCAGACCAGGGTTCGGGGAATTTTCATGTTGCCGGTTTGAATCCCATTTCCATCCAGTGGCTGGAGTGTGTCAGAGCCACTACATGCAGAATTGTCAGGATTTCTTGCCCAAGACTGAATGTAGATTTCTCTTCTGAATGTAAGAAGTCACTCAACTCTGCTAAGATTTTCCTCTGCCCTTCCTGTCCTCTGTGTCCTACCTTTGGGAGAAGCAAGAAGACAGAAAGGAGACTGCTCTGCACCCTCCACTCACCTGGGTCTACAGTGCCCCTAGGAGCTAGCCAAGTCACTGCCCAACTCTCCACATGCCTGTATCACTCACTGAGGACTGTGTGCGTGCTCACCGGGGTGAGATAGAGGGGTACGGAGGTCACTGATGGACTTTCTTTGGGGCAGGGGAGGACAAGGCCCAGGACAGCTGCCCTGAGAGTCCCCACCTCACTTTCATGGAGCAAGAAGACCCACAGGTTGCTCTGGAGGCCATGCATGAAGAGGCAGGGCACACACGGATGTTGTTCATTGCCACTGCTAGTAAGCACAGAGGCGGGGAACACACCCTGACCCCAGCCTCCCAGTGACAGCTGTTCCCCACCAAGAGATCCAAGGGCAGAGACTGCTCACTCACTTCTAAATTCAGGAGCCAGCTACCCTCAAACTGCCAGATTCTATGTCTCTGTGACACAGATGCTACCTGTCTCTTTCATTTCTGACAGGATGAGTTGGAGAATTTCTGGTCCTATTAGGCCGGTGTAACCCAGCCCTCCTCACCCCACTGACACACAGCTGTGTAAGGTTTCAGACAATGAGGAGCAGAGGGAAGAACAGACTGAACTCAGCCCTAGGGTTGAGTCTTCATCTCTCACTTTGACAAGACCCTGGGGATTTTTGTTGTACTTTTCCTATCATTTTTTCCCCAATGCAGGATTTAGAACAAACGTAGGTATTTCAAAAACAGGTCATCTTAGTAGGTGAAAAGAAGGAACACTGGCTGGTAGTAGCTGTGTGAAGACCCCCTCAGCCACCTTCCATGAATGCAGGCACCCTCTTGAAGCTTTGGCAGGCATTCAGTGCAATCTGAAGCCGGTCCATTCCTCCAGAGCCCAAGCTCCCAGCCTGCCCTGAGACTGAACTCTGCCATGGAATGGACAGAGAGGAGGCCTCTCTCTTAGGTTTTCTTACCAAAATAAACAAATGCACTTGGGAAGAGTAAATCCCCTTGATCATGAAAGTGAGAGACCATTCTCTGCAAAGAATGTGCTAGCTCAAGGGCTAAGGGAGTTTCTGTGACTTTTATTTGAGTGAAATTTTCTTCGTAGGTGAGCATGGAGGAGGACTTTCTGGTTGAGACACACATCCCAGAAGAGAGCGCCTGTGCCAGCGGTGACACCCTGCCTCCCCTAGCCCTGCTGCTGCATCCTGGAGGGTCCTGATGGGTCTCAGCCTCCCAGGCATGGGAAGGGAAGGCACCTTGGCCACAGTTGCTGGTTCTGAGACCACATGATTTTCCTGGTGTGTCTGTCTCCATCTCTTATCTACCTCTTCCTGCCTAGAAAATTCCAGACTTGGAACCTATGTGAATGTGACCCTTGTCTTTTGCTTTACCCAGGGGTGGGTTGACATGATTTTTTGTGTGGGAGACCCAGAAGTCAATGATGTATATCAGGAGTCAGGAGGAAAAAGACCCTGGAAAGAGAGGGAGGCAGCAGCTCTGTGTGCATCACGAGGCATGGCGAGATGAGGACCTCCTCCAGTCAGATGGCCAGAGTTCTGTGCTTTTCTTGCTTTTGGAAAAAGAGTCTAGTAAGCTTGCACTGTAAAAAAACAAAATACAAAAGTGTCAACACACTTGGACAGAAGATTGGCATCCTATTGAGGAGGCTGTGAATGCTCAGGAGGCTACGCCTATCACTGAGGTCTCCTCGAAAGCCCTTCTGAACAAGCTGTGTCTATGCCTCCTTCTCCCTCCGCCTTCCTGCTCCCAACCTCCATCAGTTCATGTTTAATTTCATGTTGTCAAGGTTAACATTCTTCTTTTCACTTGTCTAGTTTATTAAACACTTGTATCCTGCCATCTCTGTGCCTGGTGCTATTCGAAGCACTTAGAAATATTACTTAGATATATTAGCTCATGGTCAGGTGTGGCTCACGCCTGAAATGCCACAACTTTGGGAGGGTCAGACGGGAGGATCACTTGAGCCTCGAGAACAGCCTGGGCAGTGTAGTAAGATGCTGTCTCCACAAAGAATAAAAAATTAGCCAGGCATGGTGGCATGTGCCTATTGTCCCAGCTAAGGTGGGAGGATCTCTTGAGCCTGGGTGGTCGAGGCTGCTGTGAGCCGATATTGTACCACTGCACTTCAGCCTGAGCAACAGAGCAAGACCCTGTCACAAATAAAAAGGAAAAAAAAGAAAAGGCATATTAGCTCATACATAAAATCTAACGAAGTTGTTCTGACAGAAGCGGAGAGTAGAATGACAGTTGTCATGAGGTTGGGGAATGGTACTGAGGGACTGGGGTAGAAAGTGTCATTAGATCCAGGAATAAGTGGATGTGAAGTGTTCCCACCACAAAAGTCATAACTAGGTGGGGTGATGCTGCCTACGTTAATTAGCTAGAATTAATTATTCCACTACGTATGTACACTTTAAAACGTCATGTTGTACTCAATAACTATATATAATTTTAGCTATCAATTTAAAAGAACATAAAAACTTAAAAAGCAAAATATTAACACGCCTTCTCCGACAGAGTCCTCATTGGAGCTGCTGTTCCTGCCCTCGTGCTCTGATGGGGACACCTGAGCGTGCAGAGGCTGAGGCTTTGCTTGAGGTTGCACGCCTGGCTCCGGTGTCAGCTCAGGCTCTTGTGCCCTGTGGGCCACCTCTCCTCTCTGCCTCCAGCCCTACCTTGAAAGCCCCGCTCATCTCCTCTCCCTGCACTCCCTCCAGGGACTCTTCTCAGCCCCAGATCTCCACTAGTTCCTTTCTCTCATCGTGTTCATGCCTGTCTTGTGCCAGGCCTTGTGTACAAGCTGAGACCCACCATGAGCTGTTCAGACGTGGCTGGCGCCTAGGCAGGCTCCCAGTGCAGAGGGGAGCAGGTGAGTAACCAGGTGTCACTGCTCCTGAGGTCTGCTACTCACCTCACAGCCCGTGGGTACCTTGCAAAATTAGGACAAGCCGTTCCTTTCTCCAAACACATAGCAAGTCCCATCACAATGTGCACCTGTGACAACCCTGAATGTGAGCTGCATTCTGTGTACAGCCTCCACAGCTGCAGTGGAGACCTAAGGAAGGGACATATAGGTCAGGGGTCCATCCAAGCCTGGGGGAGGGTCAGCTAGGCTTCCCACTGGAGGACACCTCTGCAAAGGGCCGCCTTAGCCATTCCTTTGTGATAATGATAGCAGAGGGTTCTGTGCCCTTGTCCACATGTGGGTGTTTACAGAGGAAAGTCAGTAAGGAGCATCTGTGATGGTTGCTCCTTATATAAAGGAGCATCCTCAGTTCTTGGGCCACTGTCAGGAGCATACTCTAGAGCTGGATTTGAACTTGGAGACCAGAATTCTATCTGCTCCAAAACTATCAAGTTATTCTGCCGCCCAGTTCTCCAGGATGGGCTGGCAAGTGGTTTCAAAAGTAAACACAGCAGAGTCTTTTATTTTTTTTAAGCAATGTTAGATGTTTCCTGTTCCAAAGTGTGCACCACAGCCCCTGGGCTCCGTGCCTGACTTTCTCCAGGGCAGACATCTGGAGGATGACTCAGGGACCCACACAAAGAGCTGTCTGCAGCCTGGACCCTACAACCCTGGGCACCCCAGTGGGACACCCCAAAAGAGCAGGTATTCTCTCTTGTGTTGACAGTGGCATGTGCTGGAGCCATCCCTAAAGACTAGAGGGAAGGAAGGAGAGGCCACTTGCTTCCCCAGCCACTGTGGGTCAAGAGGCTTTTCTTGTCATCTGGAGTCTGGACACTCCCACTAGCTACCCTCTCCTCTCCCCTCCACTCGCTCTCTTTGTTCTAAGCCTTTGGATGCTGGCTCTGCTACTTTGTGGACCATATAGCGATCTGGCCATTTTCACCACCTACCTTGTTCCTTCCTCTATCTCTCTCTGTGTGGGAGGGAAAGGTGTAGCAAAGAAGGCAGGGTAAGGACTCAGGCACCACACAGATAAGCCCGTCTGACATGCCTGGCTTGTTTTCTGACAGAATGGCACGAGGATGGAAAGGCCCCAACTGTGGGTTCTCCTTGCCTGGCTCTTCATCCAAAAAATTGAAAGCAGCAAAGGACCCACAAGATTACTGTCATGAGCCCCCAACCCTCCTGTTACAGAGGGAGAGAGCAACTGAAGCCAGAGTGGAGAAAGGATCCTGTGTGGGCTGAACTGTGTTCTCCAAAATCCATGTGCTGAAATCCTGATCCCCGTTTCACAGAATGGGACTGCACTTGGAAAGAAGGCCTTTAAAGAGGTGATTCAGGTAAGACAAGGTTGTTGGGGAGGCCTAATCCCATATGACTAGAGTCCTTACAAGAAGAGGAGATTAGGACACAGACACACATGGACCACGTGAAGACAATGAGAAGGCAGCATCTGCAAGGCAAGGAGAGAGGCCTCAGGAGAAACCACCCCTGCAACACCTTGATCTTGGGCTTCCAGCCTCCAGGACGATGAGAAAATACATTTCTGTTGCTTAAGCCACAGAGCTGGTGGTTTCTTGTTATGGCAGCCCTAGCAGACTAATACGCCCTTAAATTATATAACAGGAGGTGGCAGTGGAGAAGTCCCTGTGGCTGACCCCAGATCTGTCCATTGCCCCTGTCTCATTGTCACTGGATGCATTTCTCTTCTCTTTTAGGCAAGGATGCAGCACATATATACACACATGCACGTGCTAACACACACACACACACACACACACACACACATCCTAAAGAGTAAGTATATAGTTATTCAGGTGGAGAAAAAGAATAAGAAATTATGTAAAGGAAAGGAAAAGAAACAGCTCCAGCAACATGTGGGGGAGCTATGGCCCTGTAGGTGGGTTCAGGAGAAGATCCCCAGTTCCAGGAAGCCTTAAGAAAAGCTGGAGAGGGTCAGGAGAACAGGTGAGAGGCAGGCAGGGCTGGACCCTGGAGCATCTAGGTTCCCAGGGAGGAGCTGAGACTTCATCCTGCAAACAACAGGTTCCGTGAAGGATTTTAGATGGAGTGACATGGTCATCTTCAGTCTCAGGCAGTTCATTCTGGCAACAGAGGAAACCTGGATGTTGGATGGAGAGTTGAAGCAGACAGCCCAGGGGTCCCTTCAATGATGGCCTGTGGGGTATGTTGCCCTCCCTGTCTCCTTGTGGCCCCCCAGAACAAGTGGGACAATCCCAGGGAAGGCAGGTGGCTCTGCAGCCATACAGCAGGGGAATGTGCAGCCTCTAGGGGAAGGAGGCAGCACCCAGCCCTGGGGATTATTTTTTATCAGAGCTCAAAGAGCAAAGCAGTCTGCAAAGTTGAAGAGTAGTTGAGATCTCATGCATTCGAGTGCAATCCCTGTACAAAACACCAAGATACTTTATAGAAACATTAGGAGGCAGCAGCCTCCCTGTTGATGAGTTCCCTCTTAAATAAAATCCACATGTTATTTATGTTCTTTGACCCAGCTGTTAGCTCCCTATAGATGTTGAGATATAAGAATAATCTGGTAGTAATATTATTCCATTTGGAGCAGATTCTTTGTTCTTAAGCTAAAAAGTGACTGTGGGAGAGATCCACCAGGATGTATTAGGGGACTTGAGTAGCTTGAATGAAGAGGGGAGAGGCAGACGTAGAAGCCATCCACACAAGATTGCAAAAACAGGAGAGCTGTGTCTCTAGGAAGGCTTTATTGCTTTTCAATAATGTGATAAGGTTCCTATAAAAGTAATTTATAGACAGACTCTCAGCAAAGCTGGGAAGCTGAGCCTGTGAGTTTTAGAGAAGAACCCACAAGCTTCAACCAGGAATTGTACTGAGTTTGTTTTTCACAGTTGAGGTCGCTGCTCTTTGCTCTCAGATTTCAAAGTGAAAGGCACTGGCTGCATTCTAACACAGGGGCAGCAGCCCGGCTGTGAGCTCTGTGAGTCAGGAGGGAAGCTAGAGAATTTCCACATCCCAGGTTCAAAACTGTGCAGAGCCAGGTGATTGCCAGGAGCTTTGTGTTCAGTGAGGTGATGCTCTCAGGGCAGGAGGCTGGGACCTGATGCACACGGGCCTCCTCGGGGACCCAGGGACTGGCAGCAGGCAGGCCCCACAGGTTGGCCTTTGCCTTTACTCATGAGCATGCCTAGATGTGGGAGTGGTTTCACAAAGGACATGAAGTGAAAAAGACAACTCTCACCTTCTATTTTATGATAGCAGCACTGTGATTCTAACTTAGTGTCAGATGGAACACTGGAGTTTTTGGCTGAACAGGAAAACGAAAGCCTCTCTATTCGGTAACGTGTACCTTAGACCTCCAGACGCTGGCAGGTTCAGGCGTGTTGCAGGGAGTACCCAGGCCTGAGAACTGCATGTGCAAAGGCCCTGGGCAGAGAGGAGTTTGGTTGGTTTTCAGCGGAGAGAGAAGGCTGATGTGGCTGAAGCCTATTGTGTGAGAGTGTCCAAAGAGAAGACAGAGCCTCAGCCTTCAAGGTCATGTGGGCCATGCTAAGAGCTGGAGGTAAGTTCTCTGCCATGGTGTGGGCTAAGTACAGGGAGCAGAACTGATTAACTCATTCTCCAGAGGCCCTGGAAGTGCTGAGAAAGCCTCAGGCTTGGGACAGAGTCTCTGGAAGGGAAGACCCTTCCTTCTCAGGACCCAAGCTCCTTTTCACGGGTGACACACAACCATGCTGAGATGAACAGAGTGGGCCTCAGTGTGGCAACTGGGCAGAAGAGTTTCTGGAATATTCCAAGGTACCTGTTCATAACTATCCTGCCTCTCATCACCCAAACCCAGAGAGAATCCTTTCTTCACATTTTCTCCTCCTTTTGCCTTTTCTTCTTCTGTTTTTCTCCTCCAGCTGTCCTCTTTCTTTATCTCCTCTTTATTTGTAAATTTTCAAAAAGACTTTACTTTTGAGAGCAGTTTTAGTTCACAGCAAAATTAAGTGAAAGTACAGAGAGCCCAGTGTCGCTGTCGCCACATGCATGACACCTCCCAGACTGGCTCATCTGCCACCATCCTGACACGCCATCATTACCTGGAGTCCACAGGTATGTTAGGCTCATCTTGGTGTTGTACAGCTCTATGGATTTCGACAAATTTATCATGATGTTCATCCACTGTTAGGGTATTTTACAAAGTAGTTTCTCTGTTCTCTGCCTATTCGTTCCTCCCGCCCCATTAACCCCTGGCAACCACTGATCTTTTCACTGTCTCCACAGTTTTGCCTTTCCCAGAGTGTCATATAGTTGGAATCATACAGCATGTAGCCTTTTCAGATTGGCTTTTTTCACTTAGTAATGAGCATTTAAGTTTCCCCCATGTCTATCCATGGTTTGATAGCTCCTTTCTGTTTAAGCACTGAATATTATTCCATTGTCTGGATGGACCACAGTTCATCCATTCACCTGTTGATGTCTTGATTGTTTCCAAGTCTTGGCAATTATGAACAAAGCTGCTATAAATATCCATGTGCAGGTTTCTGTGGCCATTGGTTTTCACTTCCTTTGGGTAAATACCAAGGAGTGTGATTGCTGGATCATATGCTGAGTGTATTTAATTTTGTAAGAAACTACTGCAAAGTCTCTTCCAAAGTGGCTGTACCATTGAGCAATGAATGAGAGTTCTTGCCACACCCCTTCCTTGCCAGCATTTGGTGTTTCCAGTGTTTTGAATTTCAGTCGTTCTAACAGGTGGGTAATGGCATCTCATTGCTGTTTTAATTTTCTGTTTTCTAACATTTTTATTGAGGTGTGATTCACATACACATATGTGATTCACTGCACATATTTAAAGTGTACAGTTTGATGTCCGACATCCTCATACATTCATGAAGCCATTTACCACAGTCATGAGAAGACATGTCTCCCCACCAAATGTTTCCTTGTGCCTATTTGTAACTCATCTCTCTACTCTGCCCCATGCCCAGTCAATTCAGCTGATCTTCTTTCTGTCACTAATAATTAGTTTTTATTTCCTTGAGTTTATATTAATGACATCCTACTTGATGTGCCCTTTTAAGTATGGCTTCTTTCTCTCAGTGTAATTATTTTGAAATTCATCCACATTGTTTCATGTATCAGATTTCATTTCTTTTCGTTGTAGTGTTATTATATGGACATACCACAATTTGTTTATCCTCTGATATGTTCAACAGTTGTTGAACATACTGTTTTCAGGCTTTTGCTATTAGAAGTAAAAAGCTATATCAACATTCATGCATAAGTCTTTGTACAGACATGTATTTTCATTTCTTTTAAGCAAATATGTAGGAATGAAATGGCAAGATCATTTGATAAGCGTATGTTTAACTTTTTTTTGCCTTGCACTTCTTTATTTTTTTAATTTTTTATTGCATTTTAGGTTTGGGGGTACATGTGCAGAACATGCAAGACAGTTGCATAGGTACACACATGGCAGTGTGTTTTGCTTCCTTTCTCCCCTTCACCCACATTTGGCATTTCTCCCCAGGCTATCCCTCCCCACCTCCCCCCACCGCTGGCCCTCCCCTTTTCCCCCCAATAGACCCCAGTGTTTAGTACTCCCCTCCCTGTGTCCATGTGTTCTCATTTTTTATCACCCACCTATGAGTGAGAATATGCGGTGTTTCATTTTCTGTTCTTGTGTCAGTTTGCTGAGAATGATGTTCTCCAGATTCATCCATGTCCCTACAAACGACACAAACTCATCATTTCTGATTGCTGCATAATATTCCATGGTGTATATGTGCCACATTTTCCCAGTCCAGTCTATCATCGATGGGCATTTGGGTTGATTCCAGGTCTTTGCTATTGAAACAGTGCTGCAATGAACATTCGTGTGCATGTGTCCTTATAGTAGAACGATTTATAGTCCTTTGGATATATACCCAGTAATGGGATTGCTGGGTCAAATGGAATTTCTATTTCTAAGGCCTTGAGGAATCGCCACACTGTCTTCCACAATGGTTGAACTAATTTACACTCCCACCAACAGTGTAAAAGTGTTCCTTTTTCTCCACATTCTCTCCAGCATCTGTTGTCTCCAGATTTTTTAATGATCACCATTCTAACAAGCATGAGATGGTATCTCAATGTGGTTTTGATTTGCATCTCTCTGATGACCAGTGACGATGAGCATTTTTTCATATGATTGTTGGCCTCATATATGTCTTCTTTCGTAAAGTGTCTGTTCATATCCTTTGCCCAATTTTGAATGGGCTTCTTTGTTTTTTTCCTGTAAATCTGTTTGAGTTCTTTGTAAATTCTGGATATCAGCCCTTTGTCAGATGGGTAAACTGCAAAAAATTTTTCCCATTCTGTTGGTTGCCGATTCACTCTAGTTACTGTTTCTTTTGCCGTGCAGAAGCTGTGGAGTTTCATTAGGTCCCATTTGTCTATTTTGGCCTTTGTTGCCAATGCTTTTGGTGTTTTGTTCATGAAGTCTTTGCCTACTCCTATGTCCTGGATGGTTTTGCCTAGATTTTCCTCTAGGGTTTTTATGGTGCCAGGTCTTATGTTTAAGTCTTTAATCCATCTGGAGTTAATTTTAGTGTAAGGTGTCAGGAAGGGGTCCAGTTTCTGCTTTCTGCACATGGCTAGCCAGTTTTCCCAACACCATTTGTTGAACAGGGAATCCTTTCCCCATTGCTTGTTTTTGTCAGGTTTATCAAAGATTGTATGGTTGTAGATATGTTGTGTTGCCTCCGATGCCTCTGTTCTGTTCCATTGGTCTATATCTCTGTTTTGGTACCAGTACCATGCTGTTTTGATTACTGTAGCCTTGTAGTATAGTTTGAAATCCGGTAGTGTGATGCCTCCCGCTGTGTTCTTTTTGCTTAGAATTGACTTGGCTATGCGGGCTCTCTTTTGGTTCCATATGAAGTTCATGGTGGTTTTTTCCCATTCTGTGAAGAAAGTCAATGGTAGCTTGATGGGTATAGCATTGATTCGGTAAATTACTTTGGGCAGTATAGCCATTTTTACGATATTAATTCTGTCTAACCATGAACATGGAATGTTTCTCCATCTGTTTGTGTCCTCTCTGATTTCATTGAGCAGTGGTTTGTAGTTTTCCTTGAAGAGGTCACTTACGTTCCTTGTGAGTTGTATTCCAAGGTATTTTATTCTTTTTGTAGCAATTGTGAATGGCAGTTCGTTCTTGATTTGGCTTTCTTTAAGTCTGTTATTGGTTTAGAGGAATGCTTGTGATTTTTGCACATTGATTTTATATCCTGAGACTTTGCTGAAGTTGCTTATCAGTTTCAGGAGTTTTTGGGCTGAGGCAATGGGGTCTTCTAGGTATACTATCATGTCGTCTGCAAATAGAGACACTTTGGCTTCCACCTTTCCTATTTGAATACCCTTTATTTCTTTTTCTTGCCTGATTTCTCTGGCTAGAACTTCCAGTACTATATTGAATAGGAGTGGTGAGAGAGGGCATCCTTGTCTAGTGCTGGATTTCAAAGGGAATGCTTCCAGGTTTTGCCCATTAAGTATGATATTGGCTGTTGGTTTGTCATAAATAGCTTTTATTACTTTGAGATACGTTCCATCGATACCGAGTTTATTGAGGGTTTTTAGCATAAAGGGCTGTTGAATTTTGTCAAATGCCTTCTCTGCGTCAATTGAGATAATTATGTGGTTTTTGTTTTTGGTTCTGTTTATGTGGTGAATTACATTTATAGACTTGCGTATGTTGAACCAGCCTTGCATCCCCGGGATGAATCCTACTTGATCATGATGAATAAGTTTTTTGATTTTGCTGTTGCAATCGGCTTGCCAATATGTTTAACTTTTTAGGAAACTGACGACTGTCTTCCAAAGTGATTGTACCATTTTACATCCCTCCTCCCTGACAATGTATGAAAGTCTAGCTTCCCCACATCCTCACCAGCACTTGGTGTGGTCACTCTTTTTATATAAACCCTTCTAATAAATGTGAATGAGATCTCATTGTGGTTTTAATTTCCATTTTCCAAATTACTAATGATGTTGACCACCTTTTCTTCTATTATTTGCTCTTTGCTGAAGTGTCTGTTCAAATCTTTTCCGTATTTTTTTTTACATAGGGCCTCAGTTCTTTTACTGGGTTGTTTGTGTTCTTATTATTAACTTCTGAGAGTCCTTCATATATTGGATACAAGTTATATATTGGATTTTTGCTCAGCAAGTATTATCACCTCATGATGACTTGTCTTTTCATTCTCTCCTCAGTGTTTTTCAAAAATCACAGTTTTTAATACTGTCAAATTTATCTAATTTATCTCTTTTTTTCAGACAAGATCTCACTCTGTCACCCAGGCTGGAGTTCAGTGGCATGATCACAGCTCAGTACAGTCTCAACCTCCCAGGATGAAGTGATCCTCCCATCTCAGCCCACTGAGTAGCTGGGAACACAGACACATGCCCCCATGCCTTGCTAATTGATTTATTATTTGTAGATATGGGGGTTTCCCTATGTTTCCCAGACTGGTTTCCAGCTCCTGGGCTCAAGCAATCCTCCCGCCTTAGCCTCTCAAAGTGCTGGCATTACAGGTGTGAAGCACCATGCCCAGCCAAACTCATGTTTTTTAAATGGACTTCACTTTTGATGTCAGAGTGAAGAAATTTTTGCCTAACACACAACATTACAAAGACTTAATTCGGTGTTTTCCTCTGGAATTTTTAAATTTTGGGATTTTACATGTAGATCTGTGATCTATTTTGAATTTATATTTGTACATGTATCAAAGTTTATTATTCTTGCATATAGTGATCCACTTGTTCCAATACCATTTGTTTAAGATTCATTCACATGAATTGACTTTGCACCTTTGTCAAAAGTTAGTTGTACCATTTACGTGTCACTCTATTTCTAGACTCTCTTCTGTTATGCTGATGTATTTCTTTTTATCTTCTGCCAATACCACACTGTTTTGACTACTCTAGATTTCGGATAAATTTTTAAACTAGTTTGTGTCAGTCTTGTAACTTTGCTCTTCTTTTTTAATGGTCCTTTGGTGATTCTAGATCCTTTGCATTTTCACATAAATTTTTAGAACCAGCTTGTACATTTCCACCCAAAAACTCCTTCTGGAATTTTGATTGGGATTTCACTGAATCTTTAGAAAAAGTGATAGCATAGTAATATAGACTCTTTTTTTTTTTTTTTTTTTTTTTGAGACAGAGTTTTGCTCTTGTTACCCAGGCTGGAGTGCAATGGCTCAATCTCGGCTCACTGCAACCTCCGCCTCCTGGATTCAGGCAATTCTCCTGCCTCAGCCTCCTAAGTAGCTGGGATTACAGGCACGTGCCACCATGCCCAGCTAATTTTTTATTTTCTTAGTAGAGATGGGGTTTCACCATATTGACTAGGATGGTCTCAATCTCTTGACCTCACGATCCACCTGCCTCGGCCTCCCAAAGTGCTGGGATTACAGGCGTGAGCCACTGCGCCCGGCCCCATAGACCCTTCTAATGTATAAACAACTAATACCTCTCCACTTAAGTCTTTTTACATTTTACTCAACAATATTTTCTAATTTTCAGTCCATAGGGTTTTCATATCTTTTGTGATATTTATCACCAAGTATTTAATATTTTTGATGCCATTTTAAACAGTGCTGTTTAAAAATTTTTTTGAACATTTTATTGTTCATTGTTAGTACATATATTGTTCATTGTCTTCATTGTCCTCATATATTGTTCATTGTCCTCTTGCTATCAGGACAAGATACCATGGCCCTGTCTGCTGGTGTATGCAGGGTTCATAAGGAATGGGATGGCAACCTGGGGCACCAGTTTCTCTAGTTCTGAGGTAACTGCAGCCAGGAAGTTTCTTTTCCCATTCTAGGACTCTTTATCACTTTGGCCCAAACATATACATAATCAGTCTCCAAACAGTGAGCCATTGTCCATTCCTCTATTCCTTCATCCATTCTCATCATAGAGCACCACAGTGCACAACTATAGAGCTCCCTCAGAAAGAGGTGGGGGATCCAGAGAGCCCAGGACTTAGTAAAGACATTGCATTTATGGTTACAAAAAAACCTTTCCACAGGCCGGGCATGGTGGCTCATGCCTATAATCCCAGCACTTTGGGAGGCCGAGGCAGGTGGATCACGAGGTCAAGAGATCGAGACCATCCTGGTCAATGAGGTGAAACCCGTCTCTACTAAAAATACAAAAATTAGCTGGGCATGGTGGTGCGCACCTGTAGTCCCAGCTACTCTGGGAGGCTGAGGCAGGAGAATTGCTTGAACCCAGAAGGTGGAGGTTGCGGTGAGCCAAGATTGAGCCATTGCACTCCAGTCTGGGTAACAAGAGCAAAACTTCATCTCAAAAAAAAAAAAACCTTCCCACAAAGAAACTCCAGTTCCAGAGAGCTTCCCTGGTGAATTCCACTGAAGAAGAAATAATACCCATTCTATACAAAGACTTTTAGAAAATTGAAGAGAATTGAATTCCTCCTAACTCATTCTTTGAGGCCAGCGTTGCCCTGATACCAACCTAAATAAGACATGACAAGAAAAGAAAACTAAAGATGCATATTGCCCATGGAACAAGATCCAAAGATTCCAAACACGATTTTAGCAAATCAAATTCAACAGTATGCAAAAAAGGATAAATGCTATGGCCAAATGAGGTTTATCCCACAAATGCAGAGTTGATTTAATTTTTGAAAATCCGTCAATCAGATTTGTTGTACTAATAAACTAGAAAAGGAAAACCATATGATCATTTAAATATATGTATTTTTTTAACAAAAGTTAACATCCATTTCTACCATTCCTGCCATTCCTGACAAACTCTCAGCAGAAAAAAGTTTCTCAAGCTCATGAGGACTATCTACAACAAACCTGTAGCTAGTACAGTACTGATTAGTGAAAAACTCAATGCTTTCCTCCTGCGATCAGGACAAGACAAGATACCTAGCCTCATGACTGCTATTCAACATTCATTGAAGTTTCTAGCCTATGCATCCATCTTAGAAAAGAAGAGGCAAAACAGTCTTCTACACAGATGACTAAAATTTGATGGCATCTACAAAAAGCTACTAGAACTAGTAAATAAGTTAAGCACATTTGTAGGATGCAAGCTAACATACAAAAGCCAATTGAGAAGACAGGATGCAGAGGACACTCAGGCTGCAAACCACCACTTCTAGGCCTCCCTCTTCTTCTGCTCTTTGCCTTCCCTTCCTGGGCTCCCTTGACCCCAGCTCTTCACTCCTGACTGTGCCCAGCTTGGCCTGTCTGCATTTGTGCTCATGAGATATTTCCTCTTTCCTAAAGTAGATATCACCTCACTCACTCCTACCACATAGAAATCTTGCCAATATTCCAGACCCAGACTGCTGTCTCCTCCGTGTATTCCCTGCACCTTCCTGGGTAGGTTTGTGTTTCTTTCCCTGGACAACAGGGGCACTGCCTAGTGTTGTCTGATCAGATTCAAACACGGTGAAGACTCTGCTCTGGGGTGTGGGAGTGGGCTCCCATATGGGGTTGGAGGAGGTGGACACATGAGGTACCTGGTGGGAAAGTGCAGTGACAGGGGCACAGGCCAGCAGGGTGACACAGCTCTGACCACTGCACCACCCTCCCATCCACCTACTGTGACATTGGAAAAGGGCAATTGGGACTGGCCAATGAATTCATGTGAACATGTAATGAATACAGTGTATTTTATAGTAACCAGAATGGTTTTTCTTTTATGTGTAAGAATTATGTGGATGGCTTTTCTCTACAGATGCCAAGGGCATTGGATCTGACAGCCCTGCAGCACAAGAGGCAGGTCCAGGGCAGTTGCAAGCCAGGCAGCGTGGACTCAGCTCTCAGTTCTCCTGCGATTAACTGCTGGTTCTGGACAGACTCTTTATCCCTTTCATGACTCAGTCTTTTCATCTGTAAAATCACAAGAATGTGTAGGTTTGCCATGAGGAGTCAGGAGTATGTAAATGATTGGAGTGGTAACAGCATGGAGAAAGTCTTCTCTGAGTATTGATTATGGCTCTGTCAGATCAGATCCAAAACCACCGGCATCCAGCAGAGATACATTGACCCCCCGTCCTAATTGGAGTGCTTTCTCCACTTTCTGTGAAACACGATCAAACACACATGAAGTCACATTGAGCAACAGGACCTCCCGCAAATAATTTTGTGTTGACTCTTTGCAAAACACATGCTGTAGTGCCAACCAAGTTCACAAAAGCCATTGCTCAGAGTCTGTTTTTTTAACTTTTAAATAATAGCTCTGCATTGCCTGGAAGAATGTTATTTACATTTCCAAATTTAAGGTTTGTGAAAGAATTTGCCAGAATAGAATTTGAAAACTCAGCAAGTTTTTAGTTTTGTACCCAGTTTTACAAGTTTTAAAGTTTCCTTCAACTTCAAACAAAGCCAGTTCTCATGTCCAAATATTGCATCCAGCTCTGTGCAGAAAATAGCTGTTAGACCTCTGTTTAAAATCTGCCTCCACATTTATGCAAATCATATATATTCTCAGCATCTTGGTGCTTATGACTCTTATGTGAGGGAAAGGAAACTAACGTATGTATAATTTTTATGAAGACTAAAAGGGACTTACACCATACATGCTATACTTGTTATTGGATAAAGGGATGAAAAATCAGAGTAGACACCAGTTTTGTTGGGCAGATATTTACTAGGCACTTCAGACTTTACATATATTCACAGTTTCCTCCCCAGCACGTTGAGCTTTTCAGGAGGAACTTTGAAGAAACTGCCAGAAATTTAGGAAAAGAGCTGGATGGAGAAACAGAGGGTGTTTAAACAGGGCCACAAGAGAAGATATAATAGGAGGTCAGGGATAGAGATTGAGTTCTACAGAAAGAATACTGAGATAAAAATGAAGACAGTCTCTTAGAGTTGTTACACACAATTTTGGCAGCGTTGCATTGGCCACAGGTAGACTGACCTACATTCAAGTAGGAAAACTAGACAATTTAGCCGTATGATGTCTAGATTAAAATCCAACTTCTAATTACTGGGTCATTTTGGATGCATTCTGGGGAGCAGTTTTGCAAACCTTGATCTATCTCTGAGAAGTTTTGCCAGTTTTTCAGAAACTTTTTTAATGCTCATAAATGTGATTAAATTTTTACTTGCTATTCCTGTTCTCTTGAACTTTAAGTAGTGAAAAAGTAGAACAAATAATGCTCATCAGTAGATTTTCTGAGACAATTTCTCAGACAAATGATGGTAATATATGTAGTTTAATTTGTCTAAGAAATTCATCTAAGGACATAATATTTCAAGGTGAGGCTGAGGGCTGTCCTAAGGTGAGTGGGAGTGTGGGAGATTTTATTGTTGTTCTTTTGCTTTTCTGTATTTTTCTCATTTTTATTAATTTATTTTTTTAATTTTTTATTGCATTTTAGGTTTTGGGGTACATGTGCAGAACGTGCAAGACAGTTGCATAGGTACACACATGGCAGTGTGTTTTGCTTCTTTTCTCCCCTTCACCCACATTTGGCATTTCTCCCCAGGCTATCCCTCCCCAGCTCCCCCCACCGCTGGCCCTCCCCTTTTCCCCCCAATAGACCCCAGTGTTTAGTACTCCCCTCCCTGTGTCCATGTGTTCTCATTTTTCATCACCCTCCTATGAGTGAGAATATGAGGTATTTCATTTTCTGTTCTTGTGTCAGTTTGCTGAGAATGATGTTCTCCAGATTCATCCATGTCCCTACAAACGACACAAACTCATCATTTCTGATTGCTGCATAATATTCCATGGTGTATATGTGCCACATTTTTTAAATGAACTTGGTTTTCTTTCATATTAGAAAAAAAGGCTAAATATAAAAGAAAAACATCTGGAATATTCAGAGATGTTTAAAGAATATTTTCTTTAAAGAATATTTTCAATTCATTTTAAGCCAATGCTATATGGCTTCTAGGAAAAATTTTCAGAATTCAGCATTAGGGGATTGAGTGAAAGATGGGCAGATATTGGGAAGAGTTTGGAAAAGGCAAACCTAGGTCTCTGAAACACCCCTTCCTCTACTGTCTTTTGGTGAACACCATTGTTATTGCTGAATATCCAAAGATTTGGCTTTGCACAAGAGGAACTCATGCTTATGCCTTTTCACCATTCTAATCCAGAGGGACTGCTTCTGTGTTCCTGCTCAGAGAAGACAGGAGAGAAAGAAGCTGCACAGATTTCCTTGTTTACTGTTGTTGTTGCTATCAGAATTTTTCCAGGAATAGCATGCAGCTTCTCCCATAAGAACCTTTCAGGGGCAAGGACACTCACAAGGATTTGAGGCTATGCAAATCTAATCAAATGGGCATGGTGGCTCACACCTGTAATCCCAGCACTTTGGGAGGCTGAGGCAGGTGGATCATGAGGTCAGGAGTTCAAGACCAGTCTGGCCAACATGGTGAAACCCCATCTCTACTAAAAATAAAAAAAAATTACCTGGATATGGTAGCACACACCTGTAGTCCCAGCTACTTGGAAGGCTGAGGCAGGAGAATCACTTGAACCCAGGAGGTGGAGGTTGCCATGAGCCACGATCACACCACTGCACTCCAGTCTGGGTGACAGAGTAAGACTGTCTCAGGAAAAACAAAAGAAAAGAGATGTGAAAGAACTCGTCATTGCATATATCTGGTGCATAATACATGGCTCAGAGCCCTTGTGATGAAGTAATTATATGTATCATTGTATGAACAAAGACATAACTCTCAATATGCTTCTTGTCACACTGTTGAATGTATTCAAGAATGGGAACCTCTTGTAAATTCATTTATGTTTTAGTTCTGTGCAATTCTGAATTCTTCAGTAGGGCAATGCTATTATTATTGAATTAGCAAGATGCAGACCAATGCTGAATGAAACATGTTTTCTAACTTGTAGCTCAGAAGGATTTAGCAATATTGGTATTTTCCTCTTTCTCAACATTCCCAGATTTTTGGCTAAGGCATCTGTGTCCTCCATGTGCTCCTTGTTAGAACAATATTGCCTCTTATTTTAGGCGGAGTGCTTGGTGTCGCAGTCGGAACTATGATGTGCTTTCTTCTGGCACCATCAGGGCACCTTCCCAGAGCTCTTCAAGAAATGCAAGGAGGGCCAGGCTGTCTGAGACACTGACAAAACCTCCTTTATGGGATCAGAGGAGATGGAGCATCTGGTGTTTGACAAAACACTGGTTCACGTGATGAAGTCACATGGACTTTTGGAAAAGAACCCACTGTATTGCAGGTGTCCGATGCCTGCCACAGCACATGAGTCAGCAGGGATGAACACTCTGAGAGAGTTCTGAAGCACAGAGGTTGGTGTGAGTTTAGAAAGAAAACGCCTGATCCTCCCCACTCATGGGAATTCCTACTGTGGTCTCAGCCAGGTAGCATCTATACCATTTAATAGATTTATAACAGCAGTTCTATATCAGAAACAGCAAGCTGGTCTTTGGTCACTGAGATTCATGAGGTCTCAGCTCAGTGTCACTGGATATCTGTGCACCAAAATGGGGCATAAAGCATCTGCCTAAAGCATTGGCACTGCCACCAGAAGCTATGAAGGTAGAGCCAAGATTACTGGACACCAACTAGAACAAAAGAACACCATGAGAAAACAGGGTACTCTACTCGGCGGGGGCTGCCATGACAAAGTACTCGACTGGGCAGCTGAAACAGCAGAAACATATGTCTCCCGCAGATCTGGAGGCTGGGAGTATGAGATCAAGGCACTGGTAGGTTTTGTGTCTTCTGAAGCTGCCCTCCTTGGCTTCTTCTTATACCTTCTCCTATATCTTTCCATGCTCTTCCCCTACATCTTCCCTGTGTCTTTACATTGTCTTCCCTTTGTATCCTAATCGCCTCTTCTTATAAGGACACCAGTCATATTAGATTGGGGCCCACCTAACAGTCACATTTTAACTTAGTCACCTCTTTAAAGGCTCTATTTCCAAATACAGTGACATTCTGAGGATCTGAGCATTAAGATCTCAAAATACGCATTTGGGAGAAGCACAATTCATGCCACATCAATGAGTAAAGAGGAATTTGACATCACTTACTTTTCCTTGACCACTTTCCCAATGATGGGGAAGGGCTAAGATTAGCTTCATGCCCCAGTGTGAGGCACCATATTTGAATATAATACCAAAAAGCCATTGAGACCAATAAGGCAACTCATACGAACACCTTCACCTTCCTTTGCTTAGCAATTGCTGTATTCCTTATTTCTATTTCCATATCTTAGAGTAATTATAGAACTTCCAGAAAGGTGGTAAATCATAATACGTACCCTTCTTTGCATCTGATTTTAAAAGCAATGCTTCAAGAATTTCACTATCACGGGTACCCACAAATGAATTTTATTAGCTATTTCTTGTCATCCTCATTGATCATTTAATACAGTTCTTATGAGAATATATGTTGAAATTTAATGAAAGCCCCTTTGATAGTTTTTGAAATTAATTTATATTATTTACCCATTGGCTAGTTTATTTTAGATAGTTTACTAATGGACTTATTTTTAATATATCAGCAATTTATTCCTGAGGATAATTTAAACACAGACTGTTATTCCTCAGATATGTGACCGAATGCCATTGGTAAGTATTCAACTTAGGATTTTGGCCTTGCTATTCATAACTGAAGTAAACCTAAAGTTTTCTTCTTTGTTTTAGTATTTTCAGATTCAGATGCCACAGTTATACTAACACAAAAAGAAGTTTGAGAAACTTTCTACATTTCTATTCTCTTTGGAGTTTACACAATGTAAAGATTATCCCAACCTCACAAGCTTAAATAAAATGATCAATATTGTCACCACGGAGACATTCTCACTGTGTTCCTTTACCCTCATCTCTATAACTACTATTTTATTCAGGTTTAATGATTCTTTAGTTAATCACAGTGATTTTTTTTTTTTAGGAAATAGTTAATTTTAACCAATTAATGTGGATATAGTCTTCATATTTTCTGGTAAAATTTGAAATTTATGTCTGTGGTTAGGTACCCTTTTTCATTCTTAGTTTTTCATATTTATGCCTTCTCTCTTTATTTCTTCTTTTATACTAGTCAAGTATATTCATATAACTGGAGTTGATGTTTCCCTAACGTGCCAGCTCCTGCACATGTCTAGTTGTTAGGAAGCCCTTCAACAGCAGGGATGATGAAAAAATGATGGGCCCATTGCTCTCTGGCTGCAGGCTCAATGAGTTCAATTTCATGAAGCTCCATGGGATGCAGACTTGGACAAGCTCCGCAAATTACTCTGATGCCATCGTTTATGAATCACACCATCCTAGATTTCAAAGAAGTATGTCACTGAAAATATGGGACACATTAGTATAAAGCCATAAATTGGTGTTAATACCCTGAATGATCTGGACAATTAAGGACAACTTTTTTATTGTCCTCATCTGAAGAAAATTAACAGAGGAATGGGAAACAATCCCATTCACGTTGAATTTTAGAGCCATTTTTGGAAGTTATAAAAACAGTGGAAGAGAAGAGAATCACTGAGGTGGACTTTTAGGGACTTTGCTTTTAACTCAATGAGGAGCAAAGGCAAGTATTTTAAGGAAGAGTACACTCTAATGGTAATAGTTTCAGTGCTGATTAGTTATCATCTGATGCATCAGTCAGAATACCATAAAGGGGAGGACCTAAAAATAAACGCATTGCTTCTGTTGGGGGAGCACTCTGACCTAGGTGTCCTGGCACGCAGTTGCCCTACCGCACATCAGCAGAGCTTTACTTCCTGGCATTTGTTGTCAAGTGCCTTCTGAGCCAGACCCTCTCTTGGAAGCTGAGGGTGTGAAGATGCATAAAACACAAGCTGATACTATTTGCTTCCTCGCTGCCCTTCATCAGCTTGCAGGGCACAGTGTTTCCCTGGTGTGTGTCCCCATTTGTGATACATGTTTCCCAGGTTCGGCATCTTCAATTCACATCCACTGTGGTCAGCACTTGTCCTGCTCCTGTCTCCAGAAGACATCTTAGTGTCTTGTGTCAGCAGTTCCCTAACATGCTCTCAGGCAAGTCTCCTGACCATCAAGCTGAGAGAGGACTCTTCGCCCATCATCTTGGCTCCCCTCCTTGTTTGTCATGTTTATAATAGTAACCTGAACAGGATTCGGGTACATAAACTTTCTAGGCTTTAGTTTCTTCATGTCTCTTTGTAAGTTTGGTGTATATTTCATGTGACTTTATGGTATGGTAATTTTTTAGAATGCCTGCACGCAGGCAGCATAGTTGAGGGACTCAAGAGCATACAGGTGAACACTCAGGGTGATGGGATTTCTGATCATGATGGTGTTTGCAAACAATGTCTAGCAATGTAGCTTTGTGAATTAGTATAATCAAATGGGGTTGGTGATTTAATTAATAATAATAATAATGCAAACATGTTGGCTCTTCCCTGACATGCCCATTACAAGCAACACTGCCTTGGACTCAAGGTTTGCGTTCCTCTCTGTGGGCTTAGGACAGTGGGCTTGACACGGGAAAAGGGCACTTTGAGTGAACTGACTTCTGTGAATGGAAGAAGCTGCTTATCTCAATCCATGATACCTGTGAAGCATTGTCTCTCTAATCTCACAAGGTCTGGGAAAATGAGGGGACTCAAGATTTATGAAATAAGAATGATCACACTTAACTTACAACATTATTGAGAAAAATGATTATGAGAGTATGTTCTGAACTGTTGGCAAATTGCTGAGAAAATGTGAGGGACATGTGTTACCTCCTTCAAGGGAAACATTCTAAATAGAACAAGACTTCTATCCCCAAACTGATAAGAACATGAAAACAACCATTTCTGGTATATCTGGGCTGTAAATCTTTGAACTTCAGACCCAAATGAAATTCCATCTCTCACATTTTTTAATGAAGTCAAAATAAATGCAATTACCGAACAGAAGCCAAAGATCACAGGAGGTTATAAATGGAGCGAGGGTATGGTCAACACTGTTTGTTTGCATTCTGGCTCTGTTTTCTTGCTGAATATTTCAGTAATGGGAGGCTGCCAGGGGGCAGGGATGGCCCTTCCTTCCTCCTGATGGATGTCTGCTGCTGATTAAATCCGTGCTGGGTTAGCTGCGTGGTGACTGGGAAATGTGAGACCCTAATGAGGGCATAGGCAAGTAGAATGTGAGAGATTGAAGCCACAAGATATTCTAATCCCCGGAGGAAGGGATTTTTCCAAAGACCAGGCATTTGCTATGGAAAGCATGCTTAGGAATACCCTAATAAGCACGTATCTTTCCATGCTCTCTCACTGCACCCATCCTCCAAAGACCTTGAAACCCACAGTTTTTTCCTTTCACCCAAGTGAAGGCCAACATACAAATGAGTAGCTTACCCCATGGGAGGTCTATTCCTTTAGCAAAGCTGGGACCTATAATTAATACTCCGGTTTGTGATTAAATCTGCTGCTCTTTGCTTGCAATATCCGTATCATTGGATTTTCACAAAATCATGATGGCTGCTAAAACCAAAGAGGCAACACAGAGAGTAAGTAATTAGCCAGGACCTATTTCAGCAAATCTGTTTCTTAGAGAAACTGTCTTGTTAGACCACGAGCAATTTCCGCTGGTGTTAAGTCCCGTTCACTTTCCTTAAACCCTATCATGTATTCAGGGTAAACAGTCTTGGTGCCTCCTGCCTGGGGTCTTTGTCAATATTCAGTTGCAGTTGGGTATAATGAGTGCCCCTGATCACAAAGAAATTCAAAATAAGGCTAAAACATGAGATTTGTGGTTTGTACTGTGAGTGCACTTGTATTTCACTTCCACACAGGTAACTCTCCTGGCTTTGACATATTTCTGAACTCTCTTTGACACTCATAATTTCTCTTCAAGACAGAAGATGATGTTACTCAAAAGAAAACAGCCAGGCACAGTGGCTCACTCCTATAATCCCAGCACTTTCGGAGGCAGAGGTGGGAGGATGGCTTGAAGCTAGGAGGTCGAGATCAGGAGTTAGTAACGTAGCAACTCTGTCTCTACAAAAGAAACATTTCTTTTTCATTAGCCAAGTGTGGTGGTGCATGCCTGTAGTCTCAGCTACTGGGAAGGCTGAGGTGGGATGATCCCTTGAGCCCGGAGGAAGAGGCTGCAGACAGTCATGACGGCACCACTGCACTCAACAAAGTGAGTGTCGCAAATTGAAAAAAGAAAAATGATAAAAAACAGAATGAGTTCAGTTCATGTTTGTGCCCAGTGGAGCTGCACACACTAGGCTGCTGTCATCTTACAGACTATGCTTCCTTACCCCAAACGCAGACCACAATCAGCGGCCAAGCGACAGACCTGCACCCACTGTGTTTCCAACGAGGCCAAGGTGGCTTTTCAATCCCAAACAAGGGATAGCCAATGACTTCAGTTTTCCCGTGCCTCACTAGACTGCCATTGGGAAATGTGTGTGTAGGGAGTCCTTCAGATGCAACTGTTGTTTATGTTAACTTGTGAGCTGTGGGAAAGAGAGTCGTGCCCTCCCCAGCCATCCTGCCAGCGCTCCCAAATATATGCAATACAGGGAGTAAGATACTTATTCCGGATCACGTTGCTAAATGTTTTGCTTCTCTGCTTCACCAAGAGAAGTCTCCAAGATAACTGTCGATTTCAGTGGGTGCTGGGCAGTCGAGTCCTATGTCCGTAGGCACGTTGGTCCCTTCAGCTGGCAAAGCCACAGAGGAGTGGAGAGCCAAGGCCACTAGAAGCCCAGGATCACCGCAGCGGTCAGGACTGTCACTTACTGACGTGGATCTAATCCAGGACTAATGACCCTGCTGATGGGGTACACTAAGTGTTTCCATCCTTCTTTTTGGGCTTTGTTTACAGAAAGAAAAGATAGCACAGAAATACATAGGAAACCAGCTTCTGAAAGTGGCTCTCAACTCCCCCTTATTTTTTTCTTTTAAAGTAAAAGGTCTTAGTGACAATTGGCTGAGAGTTTGAATAATGCTTACCAGGCTTCTGTGTAGGGAGCAATGAAGATGTAAGAGACACTGTGAAGGAGAATGCTTGGCTGGCTAATGTATGTGCCTGGTAGTGTACACATTCTGATTTCAGCCCCTAAAGCAATACGTTCACAGTAAACTCCTGCTCTAAAATAATGACTGAACTGCTCTTTTTAAGAAATGAGGTAGCTATGTCACCACATAAGACCCACAAGTGAGCTGTTGCATTTTGGTACATTCCTACCCAGGACACACGGGCAAGACGGCTGGCTGCTGGGGATGGAAGCAGAGAGTTTGGGAGCAGAAAGAAAGCTTACCGGGAGGTTGCTAACTAGCTGTATTTGTGGAACACAGCACCCAGGGTTGAAAGAAACATGGTTTTGCAGTTAATTGCTAATATTTGAAAATCCAGAAGCTTTACATAAGAATCCCGACTTTCACTGCCTCTTGGGAGAACATCTGCTTTCCCTCTGGCCCAGCACTGGAGCAGGGAAGGATGATCTTCTTTGCTAGGCATGCTCCCTGCCCAGCCCCTGCTTGCTGTCTCCCACCTGTGCACATGTGAGTCTTAAATAAACCTCACATCTGTTGATGTTCACAGCCCACCCCTGTTACACAGCCCAGCACAAAATCACACCCAGCTCGAATCTATCCCACAAATGAAAGGGTCTGCACCATATAGGAGAGAGTCAGAAACTGGCAGAAATGTTCTGACTGAAACCATGCCGGAGCATAAGTCCCTCCTGAATTCCAACCATGTGTGCTTGTCTTAAAGTGCTGACCCTGGAGGCCTCAGTGTCGCCAGGACTCTGTCCACTGTGCGGCAAGATGAGCTGCGAACATTTCACATCTCCCTGCAGGCCTGAACCCCCGGCAGACACCGCACCCTGCACCCGCCACAGAACAGCGACTGAGTGTCCAGTCCAGTGGCTCATGAGTAAGTAGTTGCTGATGATATTTTTAAAGACGGCTATCCCTACTCTGTCCTTAACTCTTAGCTTTGAGAGAAAAACAAAAATTTTATTCAGTCCTAAATGTTAGGAGAATAACAAGCCAAAAGCGGGTTTGGAATTATTTAAACTATTCCCCAGAATCTCCCTGGAGAAAGGCCGAAACTGCAACACCCTTAAGGTGTTGGGAAACCATGATCATTTGAAATGTCACTGTGTGCCTAACCCATTTGACTTAGGGAATAAAAAGCTAATCTGGTTAAACTCTTGAGAATGAGGCCAGCTCCAAAACCAAATCAGTTCTCTCAGATAGTGATCTGAATTACTCACAAAAATGAAGAATTTTTGCTTAAGTTGGTTTGTAATTATTAGATGTTATGCAATAAAATTCTGGAAAATTTCCCCTTAGCTTATTTTACCTTTGCTTGTTTATGTTAATGTTTGGCAGGGTGTGGAAGGAGGAAGAAACATGGACTCTGCTCCGTGATAAATGAGTCTGCCCCGGGAGCACAACACACCCCCTCCATGGCCTCATTAATCACCCGCTCCACTGGGCAGACAGACTGGCAGTGCTGGAATTTGATCCCCATTTCACAGATGGGGGGCCAAGGCAGCAGGAGGTTAAGTGAATTCTAGAGACCACACAGCAAGAGCATGGGGGAGCCCAGCCTGGCCACTGCCCCAAGGCCCCAAAGTCCCCATAGGACCCCTCATGAAGAAGCAGGGGCTGGCAGGAGGGTCCCAGTGGAGGAGCACTGGACTTGGGTGGGGCTGCAGCAGGATCCCCGAAGGCCTGGCTTCACATACCTCTCGGCTTGGGGCTTCTACCAAGACACTTCTCAAGTGCCCCTTTCCCTGCCTTTAAAAGAGCTGCAATAATAGTCACCCTTGATTTGAGATCCATTTATTAATAGAATTTCCATATGGAGAGTCTCCAGCACACTCTGGACATTCGGGAATGCCGACTCTTTGACCCTGTGCCTTGCCCACAGTAGACACCTATTACCTCCTCTTATTCCTGGACTAAGAAATTGTGTGTCCCCCATGAACCCAGGAGGCCTGGGGAGGATAGGCAGGGCCAGTCTAGGCTGTCTACGGCTCTGAGGGAGCCTACAGGGTTTCAGCCATATCCATTTCTGACACTGAGAAATCACTGTGATTATAAACATCACCTTCCCCCAAAGTCCCCACAAATCCCTGCTACTTACATGCTCTTTGCCTGTCCACATTTATGAGAAGTGTTTTCTTCCTTTCTAAAGAGACCTACCTACACAGCAGATGAATAGCTGAGGCATTCTCCTTCCTGTTATGTCACATTACTTAGCGAAGAATGTCCTATTTCACCACTGATCTCAAACTAAACTTGAATTGCTTTTCAAATTATTCATAACAGTGAGTTAATAACTGTGAATCAATGTCTGGTGTTGGCTATTAAAAGAGAGACAGTGAAGCAGTGAATAGTGAATAGAGAATGACATGTAAAACCCACTTGTCTGTTAAGATCGGAAAGCTTGCATGGCCTGTGTTGGGGACCCGTGGAGGTCACCTCAGTCTCTCAGCCTCCTGCTGCAGGCCCCACACCCCCCATGTCTTTCAGTCCCTCCCAGGGCCACCCCCTCCTCCTTGCCCTGCCCGAATTCTGGCTCTCAGCCTCCGTCTCCTTCCTGGTCAGTGCTGACCATCTTCCAGCCCTGACTCCCTGCTTATTCATTCCTTGCCTACTCTCCACACCATAGCCAGAGTGTCTTCCACAATGCAAATCCAACCCTGTCCCCACCCTGCTTAGTCTTTAGTGACTGTCCTCAGCCTACAGAAGGGGCACACATCAGTCTGCCAGAGCGAGTCCCACCTCCCTACCATGGCTGCTTCCATCCTACACTCTATCTCCCTCTGAGCCCCTGGCATTCTCCTCAGCCGCCAGTGCTCATCGCACTCTAGTGCCTGTCCACCTGTCTTCCCATCTCACCATCGTGCATCTGGAGTGGCCATCTCACTGCTTCTGACATCCTCTGGCAGCTGCCCTCTCCGTGCTTAGAGCCTCTCTGGTACCCCTCATCAGTGATTAATCCTCTAAGGGCTCATCTTTATCACATGCCTGCTGGTTTGTAGTGCTTGGTGGCTTCACTGTGACTCCAGGTTGAATTCATTTTTCTTCATCCTTGTTGGGATGTGATATGCAATGCCAGCTGAGGATTTATCGTGTCTGGAAAGTTCTCAGGTGTGACGACTTTGAGATGCATCTCCTACATCCTCTCTCTTTTCTACTTTCAGGACTCCTCTTAGCCAATTAAGATCTTCTTTTGTTATTATTATTGTTTTTTGAGACAGGGTCTCACTCTTGCAGGCTGCAGTGCAGTGGTGTAATCACAGCTCACTCTATCCCCAACCTTCCCAGGCTCAGGTGATCTTCTTGTTTTGCCTCCCAAGTAATTGTGACCACAGGCATACACCATCACACAGGCTAAGTTTTGTATTTTCTTGTAGAGACAGGGTCTGACTATGTTACCCAGGCTGGTCTTGAACTCCTAGGCTCAATCGGTCCTCTCACCTCAGCTTCCCCGAGTGCTGTGAATACAGGCATGAGCCACTACACCTTGCCCTGTGAGGTAGGGGCTTCTTATTCTCTACTCAAACTTTGGTTTGCATTTTCTTTTTTTTTTTTTTTGAGACGGAGTTTCGCTCATTACCCAGGCTGGAGTGCAATGGCGAGATCTCGGCTCACCGCAACCTCCGCCTCCTGGGTTCAGGCAATTCTCCTGCCTCAGCCTTCTGAGTAGCTGGGATTACAGGCACGCACCACCATGTCCAGCTAATTTTTTGTATTTTTAGCAGAGACGGGGTTTCACCACGTTGACCAGGATGGCCTCAATCTCTTGACCTCATGATCCACCCGCCTCGGCCTCCCAAAGTGCTGGGATTACAGGTGTGAGCCACCGCGCCCAGCCTTGGTTTGGATTTTCTATCTCCAGTTTCTTCAGTTTGATCATGCAAGCAATCAATTTGTCTTCACTTAAGTCCTATCTGTAGGTACATTATTTTTTTATGTCAGTTATTCGATTTTTTTTCTGAAAATGCAAATTGATTAATTTTCTCTTACTTGATTTGTTTTTCCACACAGGCTCTATTATTCCATTTCCATTTCTAGTCCTTCTTTTATCTCTTCCCTTTCATGCATTAGAACATGCTTATTTTTAGTCTCTTTCAGATAGATAGAATATCTCGAGTTCTTATGTGCTATTTTCATGTGTGTCGTGTCTGTTAAGTCTTTCTCACAGTTGATAGCTTTCTTGTATAGTTTGTAATTCTTATTTCAAAATTCATGTTCCAGGGGAGTTATTTATCTCTCGGTGCTCTGGGCATCCTGGTCTGTGGAAAGTTTCACAAAGAGTGGCTTAGCCTTTGATTTTGCAGGGCACCTGCCTAAATCCCATTTCATGCTAATTTCTGGGGATTCCCATACCATGTGGGAATATACACTTGTGCTCCCTATGGCCTCTGTACCTGACCCATGCATGATACCTGACCCACGCCACACTCCAAGCTGACAGTGGCTTCATCCCTGCTTCTGTTCTAAGCTTCCCTTTGTGGAAGGACAGACCTTTCCGAATTCCAACTCTGAGTAGAACGTCTCAGTTCAGCCTCTAACCTTCTGCAGGTCCTTGACCCCACCTTCCATCCCAGCAAGGGCATTTGGTCCCCAGCCCCGAGCCATGAGCCTGTCTGTCCAGATGACTCTGCCCCTCTGCCAGCCAATGCACCTGACCACAAGCTTCCTTAGCTTTAAGTTTCCTTTTCATTTCTGGCATATGGGGATTTTTTTTCTTTCTGTTAAGTTCAGTTATATGCCTGAAAAGACTTTATTTTGGTTTCACTTATTCAGGATTTTTCTGCTTTTATAACTGGAAAGTACCACACAATGGATCTATCCTCTGTTGCATGTACTAGAACCTTCCCAATGGAGTCTGTGGGCCTCTGATTAGGACATATGGTTTATTCAGCATTCAGCACGTGCCTGCAATGTAGAAGATATTTAGACTTTTAACTACTGAGTAAGTAAAAACCCAAAGTGAATCTCATCTCCTCCATTTGGCAACCAGATCATAGGAAAGCCATAAAATCCCTCTAGGCCTCAGTTTCTTCATTGTCAATTCAAATGAAAGCAACTCTTCCCCTTGCTGCCTCACACAAAGAATGGATGTGAAAATCAATGAAATAATGTTACAAAAGAACTTTTAAAACTTCTAAAGAACTAGATAAGTAAAATCACTAACATGGTTATTGTAATCAGGCAAAATAATATCATTCACTTATTTTTCATCAGAATACAGAGAACAAGAGAGGACTGCACTTCTGTGGCCTCTGCCTGGGGACATCAAACACCTAAAGTAACATCATGAAACTGTCCAGAAAGCTCTGGGATGCTCAGCACATTTTCCTTAAAATATAGACCCTTCAGCTGAGCACAGTGGCTCACACCTGTAATCCTAACACTTTGGGAGGCCGAGGCTGCTGGATCACGTGAGGTCAGGAGTTCGAGACCAGCCTGGCCAACACGGAGAAACTCCAACTCTACTAAAATACTAAAAATGAGCCAGGCATGGTGCTGTGCACCTGTAATCCCAGCTACTCAGCAGACTGAGGCAGGAGAATCACTTGAACCCAGGAGGTGGAGGTTGCAGTGAGCTGAGATCATGCCATTGCACTCCAACCTGGGCGAAAACAGTGAAACTCCATATATATATATATATATATATCCTTCCTCTGCACTTCTGTATTCAAATATTTCATATAGCAAAGCTCAAACTTCTCCCTTTACACTTGGTTCTGCCACTTATCCTGTCTCTGTCCAGCGTTGCAGGAAGGTGAATTCAATGTCGGCAGCCTCACTGAGTGTCACCATCTTATCCTAAGCAGCAATTCTCTCTCTGGCCCTTGGTTTCTATCTAATGGCCTACTTTTTTTTTTTTTTAAACCACATACTTATTGAATGCCAACCATGCAACAATGAGCCAAGAGATGTATCTTTTCTCACCTTTGGGGCTTAAAGGTACTGGTGGTGTGGGAAAAAATTCAGCAAACGTGTTATCAGTGGAAGCATTTGGTATAAGAGTATTTTTCCTTAGCTTCACTTGTTCTAGACCTAATCAAACACTTTTCAATAAGTCAACAGAACTCTCTTCCTAAAACCGTTTCCTTTTTCACCTTAACTCTGGCTTCTCTCCCACACATGCTTCATGGCTTCCTGACCTGCTGCCTCTGCGGTGCTGCTGCTGCCTCCACCATTCTCAGGTTTTCCAAGTCTCCCCAGAGCACAAGGCTGAGCTCCCATCCGTCCTCTGCACGTCCTCTGCCCTCTGCATTCAGAGGAGCTGGCATCCTTCTCTTCACTTCAGCAGGTGAAGCTGTCTGTGCCTCTTTCAGCTTTTCCGGCTGTCAGACACTGCATTTAGTTAGGCAATTGCCTTCTCCCACATTCGAAGGTTTTTGTAAACTGAGCCTCTATTTTCCCTATTTACCTTGGCATCCCCATAGAACCAAGCATAGCATTTCACCTAAAATTGGTACCTAGTGATATGTCCAGAACTTAGTTTAATTTGGATGTATATGTGGTAAGTTTTCAATGCAAACAGAACCATTGGGAAAGAATAAAACAATAAAATGAACAAAACGACAAAACTCCATGCAATAATAAATGAAGCAAAATCAAATTAAAATTGTTCATTAATCAGTACTACAAAGTGACCATTGGCAATTTGTTTCTTTAATCATGAGAATACCTTAGAAAGATCTTAGCCCATTGCTTCGAACCCAGGATCCTAAGAACATTTCTCACTGGGCTCTGTACATTCTTCCTGCAGTATCATTTTTCCTGTTGAGCAGATGCACAAATCAAAGCACAGAAAGGAAAAGTCATGGAGGACACATATTCCCTGGTCACAGTCAGAGCCAGAAATAAGACAGAGGCCTTTGTAGCTCACCCTTTGGCCAATGGCTCACCTGCCTTTGCACAGTAGTGATTGTCATTAGCTATGAAGCACAGAAAGTATAGTTCCTGGTTGTCTGTGAACAATGAGGCATTTCAGATCAACATGGGAGGAGGAATAACATGGGATTGATAGCTAATGTGCATTCATTCATTTATTAGCTCTCAAATATTTGGTATGCATTACAATATAGGGGATGAGGGGATGAAGAGGGAATAAATGTTTCTAACAAGGACCCCAGAGGGTTCTGATGCAGGCAGTCCTTAGACCATCCTTGGTGCAATTGAACTAGATGTGCACAGTTCAACGAGGAGTGAGCCAGATCTTTTCACTGTTTTCAACTTTTTTTTTAACTCTAAAAAATATCTTGCAGATAGTTCCATATCAGGACATATTGGTGCCTATTATTCTTTATACAGCTGCAGAATATCTCGTATCTTTTAGCCAGTCCCGTGGTGATGAATATTATCTAAAAAATATCTTGCAGATAGGTCCATATCAGGACATATTGGTGCCTATTATTATTCTTTATACAGCTGCAGAATATCTCATATCTTTTAGCCAATCCCATGGTGATGAATATTTAGGTTGTTTCCAAATGTATACTAGATTTGAAAGAGGGAGAGACAGAGAGAGAGGGATCACATTGATATTTTGTACATACATTATTCCACATATGTGCCAAGTATATCTTAGAAGTGGAATTTCTGAATCAAATAACATGTACTATGTAAATTTTTAATAGATATTTCCAGATTATCCTTCATAAAGGCTGAACCTGACTATGTAGTTTTAAAACAATATATATTTACTTGCTACTATGAATAATAATGCATTGTTTAAGTTTTCATCCTTTTCCAAAAAATTTTGCTAAGTTTTTTTTTTTTTTGAAATGGAGTTTCGCTCTTGTTACCCAGACTGGAGTGCAATGGCGCGATCTCGGCTCACTGCAACCTCTGCCTCCTGGGATCAGGCAATTCTCCTGCCTCAGCCTCCTGAGTAGCTGGGATTACAGGCACTCGCCACCATGCCCAGCTAATTTTTTGCATTTTCAGTAGAGACGGGGTTTCACCATGCTGACCAGGATGGTCTCAATCTCTTGACCTCGTGATCCACCCACCTCAGCCTCCCAAATTGCTGGGATTACAGGCTTGAGCCACCGCGCCCGGCCTTTGCTAAGTTTTTTTTTAATTGCCTCATAACACTAGATAGAACCTTTTGAGCAATGCTGAGTAGAGCCAGTGAGAACAGACATATTTCACCATTATCATGTTAGCCCCTTTCATATTAATGAAATTCCCTTGTATTTCCAGTTTGCTGAGAGTCCATTTTCTAAATCAGAAGTAGATGTTAAATTTTGGCAAGTGCTTTTACTGCATCTATTAGGATAATTATATGTTTTTCTTTTATTCTATTAATGTGATAAATTATATTGAATGATTTTAAAATGCTAAACCAACACACAATCCTGGAAAAAACCCTACTTGTTTATGATGTTTATATTTTTATGTCTTGTTGGATTCATTTGTTCAATTTTTCTAAGAATTCAGTGTCTGAGCTCTTAAGAAACATTGTAGTTTTCTTTTCTTGTAATGCCTTTGTTTGGGTTTGGTTTCAGAGTTACACTGGCCTCAACAGTGTGGGGCATGTTCCTTCATTGATTTCATGTTTGTGTAACATTGGTACTTTTTTCTTTAACATCTGATAGAACTTAACAGTGACTCTATCTAGGCTCAGACATTTCTTTTTGTGGGGTTGATAGTGAATTAAAATGCATTTATTACTAAGGGTTGAAATAGAAAAAAATCGAGAGCTGCTCTAGAGAAACACACATGTGTACGAAACATGTACAAGAATGTCCATAGAGTGGTCTGCAGCTGGGGGACAGGGGAAAACCACATGCCTGTCATTGTCAACTTGGGCTCCTTTAACGAAGTGCCATCAACTGGGTAGTTTATAAGCAACTGAAATGCAATTCTTGCAGTTCTTCAGGCTGGACGTCCATGATCAGGTGCCAGCCTGATTGGGATCTGGTGAGGTGTCTCTTTGGGGTCATAGACTACCAGGTTCTTGCTGTGTCCTCACTTAGTGGAAGAAGACTCAGAGATTTCTTTGTAGGAAATTTTTTGATGATGAATTCAATTCCTTTAATATACATGTAAGTATTCAGATTTCTTACTTTGTCTTTTGTCAGTTTTGGCACTTTTTTTTTTTTTACAGAATTTGTTTATCAAGTTATCAAATTTAATTGTTTAATACTATTCATTAAGCCTTCTAATTGTCTTTTTGATGTTTTCAGATTTAGACTGATAGGCTCTTTACTATTTCTGATAATGGCAATTGTGTTTTCGTTTCGTTTTGTTTTGTTTTCAAATCTTACCAGGAATTTACCAGTTTCATTCATTTTGCCAGGGCAAATTTTGGCTTTGTTAAGTTTCTCTATTGTGTGCCTAGTCTCTGTTTCATTGGCTTCTGCTCTTTGTTATTTTATTCCTTCTACCACTTGGGCTTTACTTTGCTCTTCTCCGTTTTCAAGCTGGTTAAAGTAGAAGTTTAGATCATTAGTTTTATATTTCTTTCTTTCTAGAATATTCATTGAAAGCTATACATTTCTCTATAGACACTGCTTTTGTTGCATTCCACAAGTCTTGATTCATTTTATTTCCCTTGTTGTAGAAGTTAAAACACTTTCTAATTTACCTTGTTATTTCCTTTTTAATTCAAGAGCTATTTAGAAGTGTGTTGTTTATCAAGCATTTGAAGATTTTCTAAACTTTTTAAAAATTGAATTGAATCCTGTTTTGGTCACATAATTTTATTATTTCAATTCCTATAATTTTTTTGACCATAATGGCCTAACAAATGGTTTTTAATGTGTGTTCCATCTGCACTTTTACAGAGTATGTGTTGTGCAACTGTTTCATGTATTCTCCTATGAAAGTCCATTAAATCGAGTGTATTCATTGTGGTTTTCAAGTTGTTCAAAATATCCTTAATGATATTTTGTCCTTTAGATTTTTTTTAAATTCCATTTTAGGTTTTGAGGTACATGTACACAACGTGCAAGACAGTTGCATAGGTACACACATGGCAGTGTGTTTTGCTGCCTTCCTCCCCTTCACCCACATTTGGCATTTCTCCCAAGGCAATCCCTCCCCAGCTCCCCCCCACTGTCCCTCCCCATTCCCCCCAATAGACCCCAGTGTGTGTCCACCCTTCCCTGTGTCCATGTCTTCTCATTGTTCATCACCCGCCTATGAGTGAGAATATGTGGTATTTCATTTTCTATTCTTGTGTCAGTTTGCTGAGAATGATGTTCTCCAGATTCATCCATGTCCCTACAAACGACACGAACTTATCATTTTTGATTGCTGCATAATATTCCATGGTGTATATGTGCCACATTTACCCAGTCCAGTCTATCATCGATGGGCATTTGGGTTGGTTCCAGGTCTTTGCTATTGTAAACAGTGCTGCAATGAACATTCGTGTGCATGTGTCCTTATACTAGAACGATTTATAGTCTTTGGATATATACCCAGTAATGGGATTGCTGGGTCAAATGGAATTTCTATTTCTAAGGCCTTGAGGAATCGCCACAATGTCTTCCACAATGGTTGAACTAATTTACACTCCCACCAGCAGTGTAAAAATGTTCCTCTTTCACCACATTCTCTCCAGCATCTGTTGTCTCCAGATTTTTTAATAATTGCTATTCTAACTGGCATGAGATGGTATCTAAATGGGGTTTTGCTTTGCATCTCTCTAATGACCAGTGATAATGAGCATTTTTTCATATGTTTGTTGGCTTCATGTATGTCTTCTTTTGTAAGTGTCTGTTCATATCCTTTGCCCACTTTTGAATGGGCTTCTTTGTTTTTTTCCTGTAAATCTGTTTGAGTTCTTTGTAAATTCTGGATATCAGCCCTTTGTCAGATGGATAAACTGCAAAGATTTTTCCCCATTCTGTTGGTTGCCGATTCACTCTAGGGACAGTTTATTTTGCCATGCAGAAGCTGTGGAGTTTGATTAGGTCCCATTTGTCTATTTTGGCCTTTGTTGCCAATTTTTTTGGTGTTTTGGTCATGAAGTCCTTGCCTACTCCTATGTCCTGAATGGCTTTGCCTCAATTTTCTTCTAGGGTTTCTATGGTGCCAGGTCTTATGTTTAAGTCTTTAATCCATCTGGAGTTAATTTTAGTGTAAGGTGTCAGGAAGGGGTCCAGTTTCTGCTTTCTGCACATGGCTAGCCAGTTTTCCCAACACCATTTATTAAACAGGGAATCATTTCCCCATTGCTTGTTTTTGTCAGGTTTATCAAAGATTGTATGATTGTAGATATGTTGTGTTGCCTCCCATGCATCTGTTCTGTTCCATTGGTCTATATCTCTGTTTTGGTACCAGTACCATGTTGTTTTGATTACTGTAGCCTTGTAGTATAGTTTGAAGTCCAGTAGTGTGATGCCTCCTGCTGTGTTCTTTTTGCTTAGAATTGACTTGGCTATGCAGGCTCTCTTTTGGTTCCATATGAAATTCATGGTGAGTTTTTCCAGTTCTATGAAGAAAATCAATGGTTGCTTGATGGGGATAGCATTGATTCTGTAAATTCCTTTGGCAGTATAGCCATTTTCACGACATTGATTCTTCCTAGCCATGAATATGGAATGTTTCTCCATCTGTTTGTGTCCTCTCTTATTTCGCTGAGCAGTGGTTTGTAGTTTTCCTTGATGAGATCCATTATGTTTCTTGTAAGTTGTATTCCTAGGTATTTTATTCTTTTTGTAGCAATTGTGAATGGCAGTTTGTTCTTGATTTGGCTCTCTTTAAGTCTGTTATTGGTGTATAGAAATGCTTGTGATTTTTGCACATTGATTTTATATCCTGAGACTTTGCTGAAGTTGCTTATCAGTTTCAGGAGTTTTTGGGCTGAGGCAATGGGGTCTTCTAGGTATACTATCATGTCGTCTGCAAATAGAGACAATTTGGCTTCCTCCTTTCCTATTCGAATACGCTTTATTTCTTTTTCTTGCCTGATTGCTCTGGTAGAACTTCCAGTACTATATTGAATAGGAGTGGTGAAAGAGGGCATCCTTCTAGTGCCAGATTTCAAAGGGAATGCTTCCAGTTTTTGCCCATTCAGTACGATATTGGCTGTTGGTTTATCATTAATAGCTTTTATTACTTTGAGATACGTTCTGTCAATACTGAGTTTATTGAGGGTTTTTAGCATAAAGGGCTGTTGAATTTTGTCAAATACCTAATCTGTGTCCATTGAGATAATCATGTGGTTTTTGTTTTTGGTTCTGTTTATGTGGTGAATTACATTTATAGACTTGCGTATGTTGAATCAGCCTTGCATCCCCAGGATAAATCCTACTTGATCTTGATGGATAAGTTTTTTGATGTGCTGTTTTGATCAGTTTGCCAGTACTTTATTGAAGATTTTTGCATCTATGTTCATCATGGATATTGGCCTGAAGTTTTCTTTTCTTGTTGAGTCTCTGCCAGGTTTTGGTATCAGAATGATGTTGGTCTCATAAAATGATTTGGGAAGGATTCCCTCTTTTTGGATTATTTGGAATAGTTTCAGAAGGGATGGTACCAGTTCCTCTTTGTGTGTCTGGTAGAATTCGGCTGTGAACCCGTCTGGACCTGGGCTTTTTTTGTGTGGTAGGCTCTTAATTGCTGCCTCGACTTCAGACCTTGTTATTGGTCTATTCATAGTTTCGGCTTCCTCCTGGTTTAGGCTTGGGAGGACACAGGAGTCCAGGAATTTATCCATTTCTTCCAGATTTACTAGTTTATGTGCATAGAGTTGTTTGTAGTATTCTCTGATGATGATTTGAATTTCTGTTGAATCTGTGGTGATTTCCCCTTTATCGTTCTTTATTGCATCTGTTTGGTTATTCTCTCTTTTCTTTTTTATCAGTCTGGCTAGTGGTCTGTCTATTTTGTTGATCTTTTCAAAAAACCAGCTCTTGGATTTATTGACTTTTTGAAAGGTTTTTCGTGTCTCTATCTCCTTCAGTTCTTCTCTGATCTTAGTTATTTCCTGTCTTCTGCTAGGTTTTGAGTTTTTTTGATCTTGCTCCTCTAGCTCTTTCAATTTTGATGACAGGGTGTCAATTTTGGATCTCTCCACTCTTCTCATGTGGGCCCTTTTTGCTATATATTTTCCTCTGGTGACTGCTTTAAATGTGTCCCAGAGATTCTGGTATGTTGTGTCTTCGTTCTTGTTGGTTTTGAAGAACTCCTTTATTTCTGCCTTCATTTCATTGTTTATCCAGTCAACATTCAAGAGCCAGTTGTTCAGTTTCCAAGAAGCTGTGCGGTACTGAGTTAGTGTCTGAATTCTGAGTTCTAACTTGATTGCACTATGGTCTGAGAGACTGTTTGTTATGATTTCCGTTGTTTTGCATTTGCTGAAGAGTGCTTTACTTCCAATTATGTGGTCAATTTTCGAGTAGGTGTGATGTGGTGCTGAGAAGAATGTATATTCTGTGGATTTGGGTTGGAGAGTTCTGTAAATATCTATAAGGTTTGCTTGTTCCAGGTCTGAGTTCAAGCCCTGGATATCCTTGTTAATTTTCTGTCTGGTTGATCTGTCTAATATTGATAGTGGAGTGTTAAAATCTTCCACTATTATTGTGTGGGAGTCTAAGTCTTTTTGTAAGCCATTAAGAACTTGCCTTATATATATGGCTGCTCCTGTATTGGGTCCATATATATTTAGGATAGTTAGCTCTTCTTGTTGTATTGATCCTTTGACCATTATGTAATGACCTTCTTTGTCTCTTTTGATCTTTGTTGCTTTAAAGTCTATTTTATCAGAAATGAGAATTGCAACTCCTGTGTTTTGTTTTTTTTTTTTTTTTTTGCTCTCCATTTGCTTGGTAAATCTTCCTCCATCCCTTTATTTTGAGCCTTTGTGTATCCTTGGATGTGAGACGGGTTTACTGGATACAGCACACTGATGGGTTTTGGTTTTTTATCCAATTTGCCAGTCTGTGTCTTTTGATTGGTGCATTTAGCCCATTTACATTTAGGGTTGATATTGTTATGTGTGAATTTGATACTGCCATTTTGATGCTAGCTGGCTGTTTTGCCTGTTAGTTGATGGAGATTCTTTGTTTTGTT